ACTCCTTTCTGAGTTAATTGGTAATAAATTAAATTTTTCCTTTAGTTGAGTCTGTTTTGCCTGTGACGGTAAATGTTGAGTGATCTCCCTGTCCTTATCTCAACCCCACAAGCCTGTTGTTATTTTTTTTCCTCTCCCCTGTCCAGTTAAGGAGGGGGAGTGATAGAGTGGCTTTGGTGGGCACCTGGCATTTTGACCAGGGTCAACCTACCACACTTGTTACTGATAAACTCTTTGAATACTGATGTTGCTTTTTATAAGTGACTCCTGATAGGATGTATTTATGAAAGAGGCAGGGACAGGTCTTCAGCCAACAACCTCCTATGCCAAAGGCTGACCAGTTAGCAGCGGCTGTAGGCTAATACTAGCACTTAGGGACTTTTCACAAGGCTGCAAAAAAATGAACAAAACCTATACTAACCCTGTTTACAGATTGGAGAGAGAAGAACTGTAACCTGCCAGAGACAGACAAAGTTTGCAACAAATACTCAAGTGGGAGGATCTAGTATCATAAAGTGTGTTTTGGAAACCGTGGATTCTGCTTCTGTCTTTTTGCCGCTGAGAAAGTGATCTTCCTGTGTCTCAGTTTCTCTCAGTAAAACAAATGGGAAATTTGCTACCGACCTCCTTTGAAAACAGAGCAGAGCAGGGGCTGTAGGTGCGAAGTGTTGTGAGTGGTGCTGACTGACATCTACTGGTAAACTGAACACTTTTGATAAGGTAACTCCAAAAGCTTGGCTGTATTTGTTGGGGGCCTGGGGATTTATGTGTTGCTTTTAAACATGAAAAGTTACACTTGCTAATTGTTGAGACAAATGCATCATATTCTTGGGGAGACAGAGAGAAGAGACACTGCCAGGAGCTTTCCACACTGATGGCTACGTCCGGTTGGGGCTGCCCCTTGCCAGATACCTGAGCCTGCTTTCAGACATCTCTGCGGTGCTCCTCCTCAGTGCCTCACTTGTGCTTTGACACCATGGTTAGGACACAACTTTCTTCCTCCTTGGCTGGATCTGAGAGCACTTTAAGGCAGCCTCTCCTCCGGAGCACATGCAGCACCTACAAGAATGGGGCTCAGACCCTAGCCACTGTGACTGCCAACAGAAATAACTGTGGTGGTGATATCTCTTCAGAGCACCTTATACTTTTCTAATCCTCCTCCTGAAGATTTTAACCACCTCAAGGCACAGCTGTGTTACTGCTGTTTGGAAGGCTTCCCTCTGGAAGTTGGAAGAAAACACAGCTGTACACCTGCTATCAAGGAAAAAATACTTTACTTTCCCCATCAGACATAGATCATCTAAACAATACCAGCTCCTGATGGGAGGCCTTAGAACACACATCTGGAAAGAGAAGCTGTATGAACTTACCATTCAGTGCGTTTATGTTATTTCTCAACTAGCTTGAAGATATAAGTGACAATTATACACAAGTGATTGCTGGGGACAAGTAATTTCCTTGCCCTAGGACACATCATATACATGACAGCATATTAACAAGGAACAGACAAGACAATTGCATAAAGATGTAAAAGTAAGAGAGAAAACACTAATGCAGACACAGGCATGTACCAGTGACAGAACTTGTTTTACACTGAGCAGCATTGGTACCACCAAAATCACAGCACGGCATGGAGGGAGTGGTCTTTCTGCCAGAAAGGGGGAAAGGAGCTCACTGATCAGGCTGTTGATGGACCCAGGAGACCACTGAAGCCTACAGCTCCTGTCTGATCCTAGCCAGAGCTGGTTCAGGGCTCCGCAACAGGCAGATTGCTGGCCCCCCGGCCCAAAGGAGAGGATGCTGTCAGGCTGTTCTTGTCAGTGGGAAGGGAGGACACCTGGCAAGCTAGGCTTGTGGTGCCTGTAGTTGCCACAGCCAGGCAGAGCAAGGGGCAGACATCTCTCCCAGCTGTAACTGGAGACTCCCATGCTCTCCCTTTGAGACAGGGCTGATCTTGAGGTCCTTCAGACATTCCCCAGGAGGCTTTCCCCAGAATACAGAGACGCATTCCAATACAAATCCAATACAAAATGCCACTGCACAAGGTCCCCACTAAAACTATCACTGCACTGCATAGCACACTAAACAGTGTAGCACTAATGAGAGTTGTTAGCAGTGGTCTGGTACAACTCACATTTCTGTTCTCTTGAAGGCTACAGAGCCTATTTGAGGTTAACTATTGTGGAATACCAGTGATTAAGATATTTGAAATACATTTACAGTGGTCCTGTAATAGCAGCAATAGTCTGCACCAACTACAAGGAAAGAGAAGTCTCAGCAAAGTGAAAAATGCCTGGAAAAGACGTATTTTGCATGTGGTTGAAAAACTGACATTCATCTCATTTTCACAATATTCTTCAAATGAAATGGTGTCAGGACCCACACCTGCAAACCAAATTATTTCCTTGACAGAAGAGAGAAGCATCGTGACTTCATAAATCATAGAATCACAGAATGGTTTGGGTTGGAAGGACCAGGGCAGGTTGGGTTGGAAGGACCTTCCACTAGACCAGGTTGCTCAAAGCACCATCCAACCTGTCCTTGAACGTTTCCAGGGAGGGGGTCCACAACTTCCCTGGGCAACCTCTTCCAGTGTCTCAACACCCTCACAGTAAAGAATTTCTTGCTAATATCTAGTCTTTTAGGTTGAAACCACTAATAAAATATGGTGCTAGTTTTGTGAAGTGCCTTGAAATGCAATTTGAGGAATGTGAAAATAGACTACATAGACTTCTTAGTGTCAACAGCTGCATTATAAACCATATAACCAGAAGTCTGTTCCCTAACACTCAGACCTAGGACTCTACCAGTAACAACTGCTTCTCTGTTTATGATATTTCAGATGTCCTCCCAATTACACTGGGAGTCAACTCTCATTCTAGTTATCCGGAGTCAGGTGCTAGTATCCTCTTTTCTCAACGTCTAAATCTAAGGTACTGAGAGGGTTACCAAAGCATTCTGGAAACAAACTACAACAGAACAAAACTGTTGGTAACCAGGTAGACACAAACAAATTTGTCCTTTCTATCTCACACTAATGATTATATTCTGCTTTGTTTGCATGATAAACACGTCTTTGTTCTGCAGACAATTGTGTGTGTTGGAAACAAGTTGCAATGTGCCACACTGGACACACATGTCCACAGAGTTCTGAGATCTCTACTTTTTGGGAAATGACAGATTAAAAGACTTTGTGTCGGCCTGTTCAGAGGCAGAAACCTAATACATCACCTGGTTCCAAATTTCTACCTACTGCAGAGATATAAGAGGTGGAAGCTCTAGCTCTGTGATATTATGTATCATTACACTGGAAAAGAGCATCCCTGATTTTTCACATCACCAGTTCCTGGCAAGAGTGGTGTCTGTGTCCAGCTGTCCAGATTATTCTAACAGTGGGGAAACAACTGACAGTGACTTAGTACCATGGAAGCAAGGCTGGGAGCACTGGGCTGCTCACTAGAAGCGCACATCAGACTGTGGCTAGATGTTCCTGGGCACCTGAGACCCCGGCACACTTGACCTGGGCAAGATGGGATAGACCCCATTTTGGGAAGAGTTGCCACTCGAGTTGTTCCCCTGTACATATTTCATCCCCCAGCCTTCTGCTTCTTCTTTCCCCAGCTGGTCTAGGCTCTGGGGGAGCAGCTCTTCCTGACTGGGTTCTTCGTCCTGTGAACCAGAAGAAAGAGTGACCTGCAATGTTAGCAAGCTACCAAGAAGTCTAGCAACACTCCAGGAGAGGTACAAGGTGTGCATGATACTTAAATATCTTCCCACATTCTTCCAGAAATTAGTACAAGCTTGCCTGTCTATTAAAGATCCAATATACTGTTTGCTGCAATACAGTGATGAATGCACATTCAAACATCAAATAAATGAGGACAGGTTTATCCCTTTTCACCCTCTATGAGAATGTTCATAGAAATGCTGTGGCAAAGCAAATCTGCAAACAAACACTCGAATAAGCTTTCAGTCATGTTCACA